GGAAAAAGCAGAAGGAAGAGAATACCAACATTGGATGGTTTGGAAATTGAAGGAAGTTAGTGGCAAATGAAAAGACGGTTACAGGATTGCGAGACATTAAACGGACTATTTTTTAATTGCTGGGTTTACCTCACTTTGTTCTGAGCCCCAGGGTCAATGCCCCAGAATGGCCGAGTCTTGGAGTAAAGTTGGACATCCAACTGAAGATCCACCAACAATTTCAACAACTGTTACACACTCATGGATAAAGAGCTTGGTAGGTAATAGAGGGAAAAATAGTGTTTTCTCACATCACTCTTGCTTTGTTTGCATATCACTTTGAATTTATTCATTCATTCTATTTTGATTAGCCAAGGAGACTCAGGCACCTAGTCAATGAGTCACCCCACTCTATCCACTCAGCCCAAGAATTCCTCAACTCCATCAAAGACATAAGGATAGACGACAAAGAGACCATGATATTGTTTGATGTCACTGCCCTATTTACATCAATAGACATACCACTAGGAAGGGAAACAATGACAGCACTACTGGAACAAGAGCAAGATCTCACTGAAACCATCTCCACAGACAACATGCTCAAACTACTGGACCTATGCCTCACCACCCACTTCACTTTCAATGGCCAAACATACGAACATATCAACGGGACACCCATGGGATCACCTGTCTACGGACTCATAGCAGAGGGAGTGATGCAACGACTGGAAAGGATGGCCCTTCTGCTAATCCAACCAAAACTGTGGAGACGCTACGTGGATGACACCTTTGTCATCATTAAAACGGACCAAACTAGAGGAGACACACAAACTTATAAACAACACCCTCACCGGAATAAAATTTACCAGAGAGGAGGAGAGGAACAAACAGCTCCCATTCCCAGACATCATGGTAGAGCGCAAGACAAATGGGGAACTGCAAATGAAAGTACACCGAAAAGCCACACACACAGACCAGGTACTGAACTTCAATAGTAACCATCCCAACACACACAAATGAAGCTGCGTCCGAACACTATCTAAACGGGCAATAACACACTGCAGCAACACTCCAGAGTTTAAAAACCAGGTGGGAAAACACACTGACACTTCATCGGAGGCTGCACTGAGGATGTTACCCAGCATGGTAATGAAACTCCTGCGGAAAACAAACCAGTTCAGCAAGCCAACCAACCTCAAACATCCTGTTCATGATTTTGAAAACATCTACCAAATCTCTCCTTCTTTCCAAAGATAACTATCCCAACTTCTTCAATCTATCCTCACAACTGAAGTTTCTCATTCCTGGAACCATTTCTGTAAATTGTACCTGCACTCTCTCCAATGCAATCACATCTTTCCTATAATGTGGCATCCACAACTATACACAACACTCAACTGAGATCTAACAATTGTCTTGGCAAGTTCAATATCACCTCCCTTGTGCCCTTGTATTCTTTGCCCATATTAATAAAGCCAAGAACACTATGTACTTTGTTAACTATCCTGCCATCTTCAATGATGTGTACATAAACACCAATTGTCTCTTCTCCTGCACCTCCTTGAGAATTGTACCTCCTATTTTCTACTGTCTTTCAATGTTCCTCAGACCAAACTGCTTCACCCCACACTTCTCCGTATTCCTGCAACGCATATTGGCTATAATGCGATTGACAAATAGGGGATCGCTATTTGTAAAACTCGAACCTTGTGTTGGCTATGATGCGATTCCAATGTTGACATCACATAATCAGTTTGTTGGCTTTGTCTTGAGCATGTGCCAAAAGAGTCCATGCGCTGGCATCAAGGATCCTCAATCTTTCCGTGAGAGGTACTGCACAATTCTTTCAGAGATAGTAGGAACTGCAGATGCTGGAGAATCTGAGATAACAAGGTGTAGAGCTGGATGAACACAACAGGCCAAGCAGCATCAGAGGAGCAGGAAGGCTGATGTTTCGGGCCTCGACCCTTCTTCAGAAACGGGGGAGGGGAAGAGGGTTCTGAAATAAATAGGGAGAGAGGGGGAGGCGGATAGAAGATGGATAGAGGAGAAGATAGGTGGAGAGGAGACAGACAGGTCAAAGGGGTGGGGATGGAGCCAGTAAAGGTGGGTGTAGGTGGGGAGGTAGGGAGGAGATAGGTCAGTCCAGGGAGGACGGACAGGTCAAGGGGGCGGGATGAGGTTAGTAGGTTGGAGATGGGGGTGGGGCTTGAGGTGGGAGGAGGGTATAGGTGGGAGGAAGGACAGGTTACGGAGGTGGGGATGAGCTGAGCTGGTTTTAGGATGCGGTAGGGGGAGGGGAGGTTTTGAAGCTTGTGAAATCCACATTGATACCATTGGGCTGCAGGGTTCCCAAGCGGAATATGAGTTGCTGTTCCTGCAACCTTCGGGTAGCATCGTTGTGGCACTGCAGGAGGCCCAGGATGGACATGTCGTCTGCGGAATGGGAGGGGTAGTTGAAATGGTTCGCGACTGGGAGGTGCAGTAGTTTAGTGCGAACCGAGCGTAGGTGTTCCGCAAAGCGGTCCCCAAGCCTCCACTTGGTTTCCCCGATGTAGAGGGGGCCACAACTTCTCCCCCTCTGTGGTCGAGAACGCCCTCGACCGTGTCTCCCGCATTTCCCGCAACTCATCCCTCACACCCCCTCCCCGCAATAACAACCAAAATAGAATCCCCCTCGTCCTCACGTACCACCCCACCAACCTCCGGATCCAATGCATCATCCTCTGACACTTCCGCCATCTGAAATCCGACCCCACCACCCAAGACATTTTTCCCTCCCCACCCTTATCTGCTTTCTGGAGGGACCACTCTCTCCGTGACTCCCTCGTATGCTCCACACTCCCCTCCAACCCCACCTCACCCGGCACTTTTCTTTGCAACCACAGCAAGTGCTACACCTGCCCCTACACCTCCTCCCTCACCCCCATCCCAGGCCCCAAGAAGACTTTCCCCATCAAGCAGATGTTCACCTGCACGTCTGCTAATGTGGTATACTGTATCCGCTATTCCCGTTGTGGCCTCCTCTACATCAGGGAAACCAAGCGGAGGCTTGGGGACCGCTTTGCAGAACACCTACGCTCAGTTCGCACTAAACTACTGCACCTCCCAGTCGCGAACCATTTCAACTTCCCCTCCCATTCCGCAGACGACATGTCCGTCCTGGGCCTCCCGCAGTGCCACAACGATGCCACCCGAAGGTTGCAGGAACAGCATCTCATATTCCGCCTGGGAACCCTGAAGCCTAATGGTATCAATGTGGATTTCACAAGCTTCAAAATCTCCCCTCCCCCTACCGCATCCCAAAACCAGTCCAGCTCGTCCCTGCCTCCCTAACCTGTCCTTCCTCCCACCTATCCCCTCCTCCCACCTCAAGCCCCACCCCCATCTCCTACCTACTAACCTCATCCCGCCCCCTTGACCTGTCCTCCCTGGACTGACCTATCTCCTCCCTACCTGCACTCACCTTTACTGGCTCCATTCCCGCCTCTTTGACCTGTCTATCTCCTCTATCCCTCTTCTATCCGCCTCCCCCTCTCTCCCTCTTTATTTCAGAACCCCCTTCCCCTCCCCCATTTCTGAAGAAGGGTCTAGGCCGGAAACGTCAGCCTTCCTGCTCGGCCTGCTATGTTCATCCAGCTCTACACCTTGTTATCTCTTACTGCACAATTCTGTTGTGTTACCCACAAAATGCGAGGACATCGTGGCAAGAATGCTAATAAGAAAGTGATAAAATTGCGGGTAGTATATGTAAAAGAAGTAAGTGTATGTAAAAGTGAAGGAAGATTCTTTGGCACTGTATGAAGAAGGGAAAAGCAGCAAAAACTGGACGTCTTTTTTAAGCCAAACCCCAAGAAACAACCAGAAGACAATGAACCACAGCCATCCACTTCTGGATTAACTATTTTTCACCCTAATCCTGCAAACCACAACTGCACCTGAGGATAATGATGATGATGGCCCTCAACCCCTGTATTAACAATAGAGCAACCTCAAAACCTCCTCCCCCATCAAGTCATCTTGATATTTTTTTCAAAATAAGGTAATAAATATAGTCCTTTCATTATTATATGTGAATTAAACATTTATTCAAACTGTGCTATCCTTTGTGTTGTGCTTTTAAGTAATTTTTGAGTCATTTTGAGTGATTTTTTTTGTTGGTCTGCCCCTGCCCCCACCCCCCCCCCCCCCCCCCCCCCACCCCCACCCCTTCCCATTGGCCCTGTCACTTTCTCTACCGTGATTTTTTTAAATAATGCGTCATTACACAGGAACGCATCTATCACGTTATAGCAGAACCCCTTGTATTGAACCTCATCTGCTACCTATCTCCCCACTCCAGCAACTTGTTGATGCCCTTTTGGAGTTCCACACTATCCTCTTCACAGTTTACAATTCCTCCAAGTTCAGTATCATCTACAAACCTTGAAATAGCCCCTTGCAACCGGAGATCCGGATCATTAAACATTAGGAAAAGCAAGGGTCCGCTACCAACCCTTGGGAAACTCCACTACAAACCTTCTTCCCGCCCCTAAAAAATCCATTGAGATTACCCTTGTTTCATATCACTCGCCAACTTTGTATCCACGTTGTTCCTGTCCCTTTTCTGCTAGGACCTACAACTTTCCTCGCAAGTCTTTTGTCATGTTGTACGTAGTAACACAGTGAGGTACAAATGCAAACACATTTCCTAATCCTCGAGAAATGAACCCCAGCTTCATCAGTCCACCCAAATAAGTCTAACCTGACAGCTCTGGTGTTATCTTTGTGAATTCATTTTTCGACCTCTCCAATCCCACGCAACTATATATTTTTAATGTCTGCACTTCGAAATACATTGCAGAATTTAAAATAGACAAAAAATAATTTTCCACGCGTTGGTGAAACTTATAAAGGGAACATAAACCCTGCGAGAAATGACCTTCGTCTAAATTGTCCTTGCATTGCCTTTTTAATAATATTCTGCCATCGCCTTTTTAAAGGCCCCGCCCCCCCCCCCGCCCCCAGCTGTCAATCAGCTGGCTGTCTCCATGGTGACGATGTGGTGGGGTTAGTGTTGTGAATGAGCCGGTAGTGCAGGAGCTGAGCCTGAGAGTGAGAAGGCGGTAGGAGCTCAGGCCGGGACCGACAGCCGTACCCCAGCACGGTGTCCGCCGCAGACAGGCGAAGTCATGAGCCAGCCACGGAGCGGCTTGCTGTCCACCATCCAGACCCGGGTCTGCACCGACAACTTCAATAACTGCTACACGCTGGTGGGCAAAGAGCTCGGCAGGTAATGCTGGGAGAGCCGGGAAGAGTGAGGTTAATATGGACTTGGAGGCAGTCGCACGGAGAGAGACAGAGAGAGAGAGGTGGGGGGAAAGAGCCTTTCATGCAACAAGATTACGCTATATCAGTACAAGATCATGGTAGCAGACCAAGGGACCTGCACATACACGCGTAAGATGAACAGCCCCACACACATTATGACTGACTGACTGACTGACTGACGCCCACGTAGTGATACAGACGGATTTATCCCAACCTGCAAAACCGAAAGGTTTGTTTTTATATATATATGGAGATAGAACAAGGAAGGAAGAGATTCTGTGATTTTGTTTTTAAAGCTGACAGTGGTTAGTAATGACCTGCATAGATGATGAATAGAGACCGTGAATCACTGAAAGAGATTTAAAGATAAGCCTGTGGTAGAGCAACTCTAACAGTGACTGAAAAAAGACAACTTGTCAATGAAGGAGATTGTGACTCAAGCAGATATTATTGAGAGGCTTGAACTACATGTTCTGGGTAATCTGTTGCTATTTTGAGAATATTTCTGTTATTATGTTTTATTCCACAGTCAAGGGGTTCCATTTATTAGTAAATTGTGAATAAATCATGATTTTGGAGTGGAGATGGTTGAGATATTTGATATATATTCAGAATATTGGTATTTTATAAATTGTCAATGATTGTTGTATTTAGTGTTTCTGTGTATGAGCGTTTTATGCACTATATTTACCACTTAGCTTTTTATATAAATGAAACTTGATAACCAATTAGAGATTTTTATGGAATCTTGTGCCTTGAGGGCTGGTGATATGTTACATATCTTCTAATAAAACTTTCATTATTGGAAAGTGCAACAGATTGAGAGTTACAGTGAATTTAGTTATATAGCCCTTTGCCAAGTTCTACTTTATTTCAGATTTGACATGAGTAAAACAATTCTAGTTGTATGCAATTTAGAAGTAACTCGAGTAAGGGATTGGGTACTTTCATCTAAAGCTAAACACTGTCCATGTTAAACAGAATGGGAAGCCTGATGCTTGTCTGACACTTGACATTTCCTGGTAAGGAAAGCTGGAGTTTCTGACAAAGATTTTTGTGGCTCTCAAGTCCACATGCTTACTAATTGGTGGAATAACTATCTTCAGTAAACTAAACCCATACAGGTCAAGAGAAAATGAACAAAATATCCCAAATTTGGTACCTTAACATTTATTTTCTTTAAATCGAGAGTTTTGATTTGCAATGTTTAATATTACTATTTTAAATTTTTAAAAATTCCTTCCATCACCCATTCAAAGGTTTGGAAAGCTATAATTTCAGTTTGGAGAGAACTACTCACCTTGTTCCAGGGCTACATCTCCTTGCACAGACACTTCCAGCCTCCACTGTATTTACTGCACGTTAGTGTGCTACTGCGTTGCTTTTTGAGCCCACTTGGGGCAGCAAACTCACTCTCTCTAACTCAGACAGCCCTTTTATACGTTCTATGAAATGAATCTGCGTGTTTTTTATAATACTATAGATGCTCTGCAGGTTGCCTGTTTATGACAAATGTAATAATTGTTGAGAAACCATGAACAGCCCTTTAAAGCTCATTTAATCTTAATAACAGATAAGCAAATTCTCTGTTTTGATTTGATTTCATAAAGTAATGGCTCTTCAATATCAAGTTGAAAGTTGATCAAATAATGTTTGTTAAAGAATTGATGTTTAACTAGGGAAACCTTGGGTTAATGTACAATTCCACTGACAACTCTTCAAAACGTTAGAGGTGACATGTCCTTTTCTGCTGTATTTTCTCCCAAGTGATTCTTGCAATCTTTCAAATGTAGTAATTTTGTCCTGCGGTCTGTTAGTAATGTCTTGTTTCTCTTTGGGTAAGGTATCTTTTAGGGGGAGGTGGGGAGGGGAGCAGACTCCCTGCTTTGTGTGAAAATTTTGCTTCAGCTGTAGCTGAGCACTTGATAAATCATCTTTCTGTTCCTGCTTCCAATCCCTCCTAGGAATAAGTATGAGGTTTCCTGAGAGGTCTGCTTGTTATTCAGGTGGCTACATATTGCCACGTGTTCTATTTTGGCTTACTTCTGTTTCTGAACCAGGTACAGGCCAAGTCTCACGGTGGCCACAAATTTGCTTAATCATAGACCTGTGTGCTGCCACAATGTCTCTGAATCCTTCACTCGTGGTTCACTGGAATTCTTTTGTGCTCCAAATTTTGGACTCAGAATACAAAAGTGTGACCATTCCTGGGAGATCCGCCAACAGTGTTCACTCCCTGCATGCCTGAGGTCTTCCCTGCCAATCCACTGGTGTATTGCCCTAAATGCCAATCTACACAGCAGGAAGTCTGTCCTCGCTGGCATGGCTCAGTTTAAAAAGTGTCACAAATTTCTGTTGCGTCATTCTCTGTAAGGAGGAAATTGATTTTTGTGTTGCTAAAGTATCCGTTTTTTTCATGGCTGGCCAAATGGGATACAAAACATGGAAAAAAAACACCTGAATCTAGGCCCGAAACGTGCATTTCTGAAGAAGGGTCTAGGCCCGAAACGTCAGCTTTCCTGCTCCTCTGATGCTGCTTGGCCTGCTGTGTTCATCCAGCTCTACACCCGAATGATGTTTGTCCAGATCTACACTTTAGCAATGGTTTTCCCTTCTTTAATTCCACCTTTAATTCCCCTCATACATCTGTCTAGAATGCATGTTGGGCACAAAATAGTTGCACTGTGTACTGTGCAAGTGCATTTCAAAATGTAAAGTGGTTATTATGAATGTTCCAAAAAATACGAATGGACTTTTTTTTTCTTAAAAAATTCTCAGGAGTGTGTCTCTGGATGCTGATTGATAAGCACAGGGAGGTGTTTCTTGTCCAGGGTTCTAGCACATGTGTAACAAGAAGAAAGTGTATGTGGGTGTATTTTTTGGCTTCTCAGATGAAATGTTCTGTGTTTTGTGGTCCAGCACAATTTCTGTTTTACATCAACTGCAATGTAACTGCATAGGCTGAATATCCAATTTTAATTGTCAAACAGGAGTATGTAGGCTTTCTTCCAATGTGCTTGTCACCTCCCAGCTATTTATTTACAGTATTTCCGCAGAGCTCTGAGGTGACCTCTGAGCTCCTCTGCCCAACTGTATTTGTTACTTTTTTATTGCACCTTTTTTTTCTGTAAGATGAGTAAAATGCTTTGCTTTGAAGAAAGTTTTTTTGTTTTTAGATATTTTTAATTGCATCACATTTTACTGCTTAATGTTACCTTCATTGGTCATAAGATAGTGCAGCATGTTTTTATTTTGTTTAATAAATAACTGAATGCACTGTAATTATTAGCTATACATGTTTTAATTATAGTCTGTCTTTTTCTTATTCCCTGCACGTTGCAGCATGATTTTCCTTCAGCCTAGTGTGCTACTTCTTGAGTATCTTTATCTCCCCTTTGTGTTACAATTGGTTCAGTTTTGATTAAGCATACTAAGGGACTGCGCATATTTGATTGACGTTTGTAAATCAGTTTAGAATCAATACTTAATATGCATATTTATTACATGCGAATTACCTTCAGTTTAGTCAAGACAAAAGCAAAGGTTTTTGGTTTAACTTTTATTATGCTCCAAATATCAAATTTTCATCACACCGTGTGAAATGTTGGCCATCTTCTTGATCCATCTTCACAGCAATCACTTAAAAATAACTTAAAATGCTTTTCATTAATGTACTGACTGTAGCCAGAACAGAAAAACAGAGAGCAAGCAGCCAATATTGAGCGAAAGTTGAAAGCACTACACTAAAAAACCAGAATCTGAAAAGATGAATGAATCATAAAATCTACCTTAAACTGGATGGAAAAAGATCGTAATACATTCAAAGTAACTCGGTCACTTCTCAAAGGAATCAGCAGCTATTATGCATTTTGTTGCAAGTCACTGGAAGAGTAACATCACATAAATATAACGCTTCTGAAATTACTAGTCAACACATTCTTTTTTTCACCCCAGTCATCCTGTTCCATGATGTGATTTGTTACTTTGCTTCTTTCCCTATCTGACCACTTTTCATTGAAATTGCACACTCTGCTTGTCTAATGTTTGCAAACTAAGTCCAGTTTCATCAACATTTAAAGATGCCTCAGGCTTATAATGAGGTAAAACTTTGTGAGTTTTATCCACACGGTTTGTAGTGGAAAAGGGTAACTGAGGAGAGAATAGAGCCCCTTGAAGATTAGTAAGGCTGCCTACGTGTGGAACCACAGGGGATAGGGGAGATAGTAAATGAGTATTTTGCATCAGTGTTTACTGAGAAGAAGGATATGGAAGATAGAGAACGTTGGGAAATAAATAGTGACATCTTGAAACATGTCCAAATTGCAGAGGAGGAGGTGTTGGATGTCTTAAAACACATGAAGGTGGTTAAATCCCCAGGACCTAAACAGGTGTACCCCAGAACTCTGTGGGAACCTAGGGAAGTGATTACTGCGCCACTTACTGAGAGATTTATGCCATCGATAGTCGCAGCTGAGGTTCAGGAAGGCTAGATATTGGCTAATGTGGTACCACTATTAAAGAAAGGTGGTAAGGAAAACCCAGGGAATTATAGACCAGTGAACCTGACATCAGTGGTGGGCAAGTTATTGGAGGGAATCCTGAGGGACTAGATTTACATGTATTTGGAAAGGCAAGGACTGATTAGGGATTGTCAACGTGACTTTGCGCATGGGAAATTGTGTCTCACGAACTTGATTGAGTTTTTTTGAAGAAGTAACAAAGAAGATTGAGGGCACGGCGGTGGATGTGATCTATATAGACTTCAGTAAGGCATTTGACAAGGTTCCTCATGGTAGACTGGTTAACAAGGTTAGATCACATTGAATGCAGGGAGAACTAGCCATTTGGATACAGAACTGGCTTGAAGGTAAAAAACAGAGGGTTGTGGTGGAGGATGTTTTGCTGACTGGAGGCCTGTCACCAGTGATGTACCACCAGGATCGGTGCTGGGTCCGCTACTTT